ATTACAATAACATCAAATTTGTGGAAAAAAAATTAATCAAAATGTGTTAATAATCTTTTTCTTAAAAATATCAAATTATTAATACCATCCACAAATTTTATTAGTTTAGACTTTTAAGATATTTATTAAATTAATGTAAAAACCATTTAGAATCAATTCTTATTAAAGTACTAAAAGTCAGCTTTATAAAGTTTTATTTTGTATTTTAAACAATACATTTATCGCTATTTAAAATAATTATATAACTTTTATATGAGTGCACTTATATATAAATATAATTAATTTAATCTTTTGGGGAAATAGGAATTCTATCTAATATCTTATTCCAAAAATGAAACTTTTTTAATTAATTTCAAAATAAGTATATTAAGTGCGAAACCTTATATTTTAATTTCTTTCTTTGTTTCTTTGTTTGTTTTCTGGATCAAAGAGAAGATACAATATTAAATATTTAAAAAATATCTAAAGATAATAGAATTTATATTTTTAAAAACTTAAATTAAAATAATATTTATCGTTAAGATTTTTACTTTTAGTGTTTTAAAATATTAAAGAGAATGACTTAATATTTCTAAAGCTTAATTAGTTTTGTAAGATTTAATTTTAGAGATTGTAATTATTTTAACATTGACCATTAATTAAAAACATATTGACATAATCAAACCTAATCAATTTTAAACGCTTAATATCTTTTACCAGAATATCTTTGGTTTACTATTAATTAATAATAAATCAATATTTGGATAATTTATTTTTTTTAGGTAGTATATATTCATTCATTTACGATCTATATATTAATTATTTGTTTTTTTTGTTTAATTAATATTTTTCTATCATTTTAAGTAATCAAAATCATTAAATTTCTATTGCATAAAAATCAATAGCTTTTAAAGCATTTTCTGATGTATTTTTAAATAGAAATTTTGTAACTTTTTATTTTAGATTTTTATTTTTTAAAATAAAATTATGTTTAAAATAATAAAATAAAATAAAAATTTGTAAACATTTTAAATGATCAATTAAATAATTTTAGGATATAAGAAGAATATTCAAGCAAGTTTTCTGATTTATTTCTAGAAAATTATAAAATTGTTGTCTATCAATTTAATAGAAAAAATTAATAAAATAATTTTTTTTATATATTATCAATAAAGTATTAAAAATATTAAATAAAAAAATTTTTTTTAATTATTAAATAATAAAATATATTTATTGATTTAAAATTGTCTTATTTTGCTTAATATAAAATTATAAAATTAAAATATGAAATAAATAAATTATATTAAATAATTAAAAATAATTTTTAAAAAAGCAAAATAGAATTTTTAAATAATTAATTTAAAATATTTTTCATAAAAAAAATAAAATAAAATCAAAATAATTTGATTTTTATTTTTAAATGTTTAAATTATAATAAAATTAATTTTTTTTATGATAATATTTTTTTATTTTAAAAAATTAAATTCTTTATTTAAGCTAAATAAAAACTAAAGGATTTATATAAAATTTGATTTAAACAGTGTCAACAATTTATCTAATTAAAGGATACTAATTTAATAATTAAAAATTAATGATATAAATATTAATTTTTAATCAAAATAAATAAATTATTTAAATTCTAGATTGAAATAATTTTTTGCAAAATTTTTTTTTATATAAATCATTTTCACTACTTTTTATTGATCTATTTTTCTAATTTGCTCCAATAATCAATCTCTAATGTATAATATTAATTTTTTTTATTATTTTTTAGTTTAATTTTTATTTTAATTTTACATTTTAATTTTAGTTCATAAAAATTTTTATTTTTTTTCTTAACTTTTAAAAAATTTTAAATTTAAATAAAACATTTAATTTATTTTTTAAATTATTATTACTTTAAAATAACTAACCATGAAAAAGATGAAATAAGTAATTAAAGTCAAAATTTTTATCCAGCAATCTGCATTAAATTTTAAATTTGTATTTAGCCTTGAAAAAGGCAGTAAGTACCTCAGGGTACTAAATATACTTACATATATATATAATATCACAATCCAAAATAA